AACCATTTGATGTAACCTAATGCCCCTCTTAACATGCATATATTTGTCTTTTGGTAGTCACATTTAGCCAGAGAGATCCCGGGGGTCAGCTTGTCATAGGTTGTCGGAAAGCTACGACCACTTCTGATATGCAGGTAGTTAGCTCAGTCATTAGTTTGTTAGCTGTTTCTGTTTTTTCATTTTCTATTTTATTAGTTGTGTTAAATAGCTTATTTCACACGCTATCAAGTAGGATTCCCAAAGACCTGCCATTCCACATGGTGGTTCTCCCGGAGAAACGTCAGAACTCAAGTACTTCATCTGCGAAAGAGAAATGAGTATTAAAAGAGTCACGTTCCCAACTAAAAACAAATATCAATTATCCATAAGTTGTTCAGTAAGAAGAACTTCATGATATATTTCCATGAATGAAAACATAGAAGGATGATTTAACTACAGGTTTTTGTTGCTATGGAAGTTTTCACTGTTTGCTTGGTGTCACTCTATGCATTTTGTTAACAGGGAATATCATTCCAACTGAAGAATATATTAGTATTAATGATTAATTACCTTAATATCAATACCTGTGCATTCAAAAAATCTTCAACTCCATTTTCTCTAGAAGTGATGGAATTAATTAGTTATTTTCCTCAGTATTTGCTGCAGTTATTCAATAGTATCTTGTACTAATATTTCTTAAATGTCTACTTAACGCTGCGACAAGAAGAAATACCATATACCTAAATTTGAGTTCATGGGCATATTCACTTCATAGCTGCTATTTGTTATATCACTTTTTTGTTTGAGTTTAAGGATTTTTGTTTATGCTATATTCTGAAAATTGGAACAAAAATATTTCAGTTCTTGATTTCCTCATGGTTCTAACAATTGTTCATCCATTACTAGATATCTTGCTTCTACAATAGCAAAATGTTTTCTCCCAGCTATTGTTACATCACATATTTTTTTCACGATTTTCTACCTTTCAGAAGATGCGTATTTATCATGGAAATTATCATTTTCATTAATGTTTGATAATTTATATCTTATAGAGCTATTTCTTTGTGTCTTCAAACCTTGTTTAACGAGAAGACAGCACCATGGACAACATGGTACTTGGTAAAATGCCAATAAAGCATCAAGGATATCTTTCAAAGCATAGGTATGTTAAAAACTCCCAGACTCATTTATTGCTACCATTTCATTCATCATTAAATTTGAACAAAGACAACACCATCATTGATATACATGGATTTGAATTGGTAAAAATTCAGCTTACCTATATTGACTTCGTATAGTCATATTCATCCTTCAGTCTACCATGTACATAGAGGATTTCCTATTTTAGTTCAATGAACCACATTTTTATGCTTCCACTTCTACCTTAGAATGAAAAATCATGTACAATTGTTGTCGAACAATAAAAACCATAAGATTTTTCCTCTTTTTCCTTGTTAATCTTTCCAGCATTTTTAGCTTGTAGTATATCAATGTATTTTCCCATCTTCTATATTTTTCCTACAACATGAACTTACACTACAGCTTCTTTTCTTCGTCTAAAGTAATCATTTGATGATTGAATACTACCTAAACACATGGTTGAATAGGTACCTATTTGTAGTTCGATTTACTAATGGTTAGAATTTACTTCTTTTTGCATGGAGCTAGAGCAACTAGCTCCATCCAACATGGAGCTAAAGGCTAGCTCCATCCAACATGGAGCTAGGTCCCCTAGCTTCATCCAGGATGGAGCTAGCGCTTTTCTTCGTCTGTCTTTCAATTCAAATATAATTTCATTTTTTAACACGCTACACTGTGCATTTTGCTAACAGGAACTGAGGAACATCATTAATGGTCATTAATGGTATGGGAAATGTTCTCCCCTACCTAACTTAAATTATGCCGGCAAGGAGACACAGAGAGGTGGATGGGAGACACGCCTGCCTCCATGATTCACGGAGACACGAAAACTGCAAACACTTTCTCCTGAATTGAATGTTATATGTCCTTCCAAAGTCACATACATATGCTTTTGATGGATATATACTTTGGTTTCAATTCAATGTTATATGTCCTTCCAAAGTCACATACAATTTAGCTCCCACCTCTCCGACGAGCGCACCGAGGCACCAAGT